ACGTACTCTGTGAGCTTCCATGTGGGAGGAGCGTTAGTATCTGGACAGCCATGTTTGTGAGAGACAATGTTGTCTGTGGAACGGCGGTGTTCACCGTTCCTTTGGCTGAGTGCGAACCAGCATATTCCACGGGCATGTTGACCTGCAGCCACGCAGGTGCCAAGCTGCCGGCCACATGGGGTGGCCACCAGTAATAGTGGGGAGAATGGCTGAGAAACCCATTCCTGGAGATTTCTCCTCCCGAACAACTATGGGGCAGACAGAGGCTCTTCCGGCACAGATAACTATAAAGAGCTCTTGACTGACATTAGGTAAAAACACATGTGTGTGTGTGTCTACGTGTCTGTATGTGTGTGTGTGTCTACGTGTCTGTATGTGTGTGTGTGTCTACGTGTCTGTATGTGTGTGTGTGTCTACGTGTCTGTATGTGTGTGTGTGTCTACGTGTCTGTATGTGTGTGTGTGTCTACGTGTCTGTATGTGTGTGTGTGTCTACGTGTCTGTATGTGTGTGTGTGCGTGTGTACACATGTATATATGTGTGTATGCATAGGTGTGTGTGTGGCAGTGTTTGTCTCTGTGTCTCTGTGTGTGTATGTATATGTGCCTGAGTGAATGAATACCTGTTTGTGTCTGTGTGTCTCTGTGTTTGTGTATACCTACGTGTCTCTGTATATAAACGTGTGTCTTTGTCTGTGTGTGTCTGTGTGCATAGATGAGGGTTTCAGTGTATGCATACTTCTGCGTGTGTGTGTCCGTCCAGGCCATACTAAGTGTTCCTGTTTTGTATTGCTCGTTGTGTGTCCCTACGGCAGCCTCACCTTTCAAGGTGACCATCACAGCCTGGCTCCTGGTGGAGGGAATCCATCTCCCGCTGTCCTTCTCCTCGTACCCGCAGGAGTATTCCCCAGAGCTGTTGGTATCCGCCCGCGGGATGCTCAGCACGGCGACGTTCCAAGGTGAGGTGTCTGGTGACGTGATGTTTTTCTCGGCTCCTGCCTTTAACTCGGCTCCGTGCTGGTAAAAGTGGAACCTCCGCTCCAGGGCGTCCCCGGGGGCCATGCAGGTGATGAAGAGGGGGTGCCCTTCATTCACCTCTTTGGACGGGGGGTCCACATTCAATGTCGGCTCTGCAGGGGGGCCTGAGGAGAAAAGCAGCATGTGAGGGCCACCTGGGCAGGACATGGAGGAAAGAGAAGATACGGTTTGGAGAATGGAACGAGCGTGGCTTCTATCCCGCCATGGCGGTGAAGACTCGGTTGGAGCGGGACAGAGAAATGCATCCCCCGAAAGACGGTTACTGGGTTACCCTACGGAGTGGGACACAGGCGGGACTTGGCTTTCCATGGATGACCAGAGGTTTTGCCCCCATGGCCACTCCTGGGATTTTTTAAGTTGGGCAGCCCATCCGTTGTTGCTAGTCGGGAGCCCACGTTTCTCACGTCCCCTGTGAGATGCCATATTGGAAGAACGTTAATATCTGGGCAGCCATGTGGGGCAGAAACCCTTTTGTGAATGAATACCTGTTTGTGTCTGTGTGTCTCTGTGTTTGTGTATACCTACGTGTCTCTGTATATAAACGTGTGTCTTTGTCTGTGTGTGCCTGTGTGCATAGATGAGTGTTTCAGTGTATGCCTACTTCTGCGTGTGTGTGTCCGTCCAGGCCATACTAAGAGTTCCTGTTTTCTATTGCTCGTTGTGTGTCCCTACGGCAGCCTCACCTTTCAAAGTGACCATCACAGCCTGGCTCCTGGTGGAGGGAATCCATCTCCCGCTGTCCTTCTCTTCGTACCCGCAGGTGTATACCCCAGAGCTGTTCGTATCCGCCAGCGGGATGCTCAGTACGGCGATGTTCCTAGCTTCGGTGTCGGGCTCTGTGATGTGGGTCTCGGACCCTGCCTCGATCTCTGCTCCGTGCTGGTAGAAGTGGAACCTCCGCTCCGCAGCGTGCCCGGGAGCTGTGCAGGTGACGACGAGTGGGTGCCCCTCATTTGCTTCTCTGGACGGGGGGTCCACACTCAATGTCGGCTCTGCAGGGGGTCCTGAAGAGAACAGCAGCGTGTGAGGGGCCACCCGGGCAGGAGAGGGAGGAAAGAGAAGATGCGAGTTGGAGAATGGAACGGGCATGGCTTCCATCCCGCCATGGCGGTGGAGACACGGTTGGAGCGGGACAGAGAAATGCATGCCCCCAAATACAGTTATTGGGTTAGTCTACGGAACCGAAAAGAGGAGGGTCTTGGCTTTCCCTGGGTGACCAGATGGATTGCCCCTTTGTCCACTCAAGGGATTTTTTTTAGTTGGGCGGCCCGTCCGTTGTTGCTAGTCGGGCGGCCTCGTTTCTCACGTACCCAGTGAGCCACCATATTGCAGGAGCGTCAGTGTCTGGGAAGCTATGTTGGGCAGAGACACTGTTGTCTCTGTAGTGGTTGGTGTTTCTT